GTTAATGTGATCTTAAATACAAACATTACTTTAATTAAGCAGTTGATCTGATTTGATTGATGTTTTAACTTTGCACAGAGAAAAATAAAAATAATCCACATCCTTCAAAATACAAGGATTATTATTCTCTTTGATATTATTATTCACTTCTGTTGAAATATTTGTGCAGGTATTTGTGCAGACCAGTTCATCTAATTTTATTTAGGTGCAGTTTCTCACTTGTTTTGTGATATTCTTCGAGCCATTGTCATTTTCCCCTAACTTCTTGAGTTGTTCTGAATATTTTCCACTGTTGCTTGTCTTAAGAATCTAAGATTCCCAATTCAGGATGCACCCAGACATCCCCACAGCACGTATCCAACTCTGCATAACTTCCAGACATAGACAACATTCATGACCAAAGACTTCAGGCTTTGTCTCACGTGACGTAACAATAAGTTTTTGGTTTGGATCATCCGTCCCCAAACTTCAGGAGACCCTTCCTTAGCTGTGAGCCTTCTGCAGTGCAGTCCATTCCTGTGCAGGACTCCAGTGACTGTCTGTTTTGACACTTACATTCCAGACAGCACCAAGTCATTCATTTAGTCAGTCGTTAAATTTCTTTGGGGGATAATAATTTTGTCTTGAACATGTGCAGTTCATATGGGGCCCCCACAACTCGGCAGACGAACCAAAGATGGATCCCAGTTTAGAGCTGTCTCAGAACCACCATGGGCTCAACATGCAGACACCGTCTGAAGGGACAAGGACTTGTTAAGTGTGAATGACAAGAGTTAACCTGCTAACTAAACAATAACCCAGCCGCCTAATAGTTAACGTTTTCACATTTATTCCGGGAAACATTCAATGGAAGTTTTAATCCTGACAGAAAAAGAATAAGAGAACAGTTAATGTGCAATGTTGGAAAGTGAAAGTGTTACGTCACTCGGGTCTCACATGTGAAGGTGAGTGTGAAGTGAGCCAAGGTGTTGCTGCTGCGTTTATGTAAGCGTTTACAGAGCTGTTTACTGTTCTCATTCCCACTATGTGGGTAATTGCGCACAAACACACATTCAGAGAGAGAGCGAGAGAGAGAGAGAGAGAGAGAGAGAGAGACGGAGAGAAACATTGCTCCCTCCCTCCCCCGGTTTCCTGTGTGTGTCCAGCAGACTCCAGACGCGTTCTTCAGTCCTCCTCCTCCTCCTCCTCCTCCTGCTGCTGCTGCTGCTGCTGCTGGACTATCACTGACTCTGACTTTACCTCTGAATGTAAGTGAATGTAAAAGTCAGTCGGAGTCTCAGTTCGGACACGGGACACACGGGACGATGGGGGCACAGCACAGTTTCAGGTCTTTACGCGCAGTCGTGACTGTTTGCCTCCTTGCAACGGTGCTGTTGGTGGAGCCCGGGACCGCCGGTGAGTAAACCTCACTCTTCTACTCCTTATTTTACGGTTCAAACCGCGCACTACACAACTTTTTTTTAACTCTGTACTACTGCATTTGTGCTTTAAATGTCCTTGTAATGCGCGTAACGCTCGTCCCAGCGTGTGGAGAGCTGAGGTGCGCAACAGGTGACTCAGAGCGCAGGGCGCTGACGCACGGCTCAGCTATGCGTGGCTCTGTTTTTACACGAGCACATGTGTGCATACGCAACATCATGTTCTGTCAACGTCATTGTCACTGAAGCTAATCATTTTCTCAGTGTATATGTGTGGTGACGTTGGAACAACTTGGGATTTATGGCGAACAAAATAATTGCGCCTGATGCTGAAGTACAACGTTTGTAACTTAAAAAAAAACTGCTGTTATATTTGCTCCTGTTATATTTGAAGTTATTCTTATTCTTCCTCATCCACATGCTTGCAGAACAAATGCAGTTGTACAGATGTGCGAACATCTTCTGTAAGGTTAAACTAACAGGGGAAACAAACTTACTTAAGACACCAGGACTGTATGTTGGCAAGCTTTCCCTCGTTTTTATTAAATCCAAATTTAAGCATCTTGCAGAATACAATTTCCTAGCACTTGTTCTGGATTTGTCCTAACTTTATTCATGCATGTTTTGTGTAGCCCAACAGCCAGTGTGTCTCTCTGTCTTGGAGCCTGAATGCTGGTCCATGTTTGGCAGCTGAATCATTTAAAACCGCAGGATTGATTTCCCTTACATTTGTTTTGTTGAGGGGTGGGGAACCCATGAAGAAATGTGAGAGTGGATCAGGGTTAAAAAATAAGGGTGGATACACTTTTATTTTACATCTTATAACAGGGCGTCAGCCTTGGCTCACGTCCACGTTATAGTTTTCAGTAATTATGACAAATGGGACTTTCTGATTTGCGGTTTTCAGATGAGTCTTCATAATAAAAGACCTGGCAGAGGTGAATTTTGCAGCTCGTGGGATTAAGTGGTTTAATGTCTGCTCTCAGTGAAGCCACATGTAAAAACATTAGAAAATCTGCCATTTGGCTTTTGATGGTTCATTCATTAGTAGGTCTGTAGTCATGGAAACAAACGCCTCACCTGTGGCCTTTGTGTAGTTTATGTATAGAAATGCAATCTGTTGCAACGTTTGCAGAGGTGTACAGCTCCGTCAGTCTTGTAGAGAGCAGCTTAGTCGTACCTGTCCTGAGGAGAGGTTGAATCCTCTTCTTTTCTGGTTGTGAATTTTCTGCTGCTTTTTTTATCTGTCTTATTGGAGGTTGTCTGTTTTATCAGCTCTAGCCAACAATCTCTAATCTTCAAACCTTAATGCATAATGTGTTCTATTTTTAAAACATGACTAAACAAAGAGATTCAATTTATATACAACAATAATCTTATACTAGTCACTTATGGATTTAGGGCAGGGGTCTCATCTCATCATCTTAAGCCACTGATGTAAAGATGGAGAAGACCCTCTGTTTTATAATAAACTTACAAGAGCGCCCCCTTGTTAATTTGCATTTAAAATATATAATACATCCAAGCTTTTATTTTAAAACGTGTAAAATGTACATTTTAATTTAAACACTCTAATGAACCAAAATGTCATGACCCCCCCTGCTGGTTGAAAACCTCTGGACTAGGGCTCTTTGACCTCCTTTGCCTTTCCCTATGTTGACAACTCTGACCAAAAGTTTTAGCATATCATAACTTTTTACCTTCTTTTGTGTTAAAATGCAAGTGTTGGTTAAATGAGAGTCTGTTGCCTCTTGAGCACAACAGCTGTAGTCATTCCTTGTGTCTGTAGGGCTTCATTCAGTTATACCTGGTATTGTAATTTTTATTGAAGTTTTCTGCTGTGACACTAATACCTGGTATTGTAATTTTTTTATTGAAGTTTTCTGCTGTGACACAAATTTTGCATCATTTCCGAACATAAATGTGGCTTATTGAACACAAATCACCTTCTTAAATGTGTTAAAGCTCCTCCATGTGCTTGACATGTTTCTCCTCATATTGTAAAAACAACAGCAAGAAGCATAATGGCCTAAAGGTCAAGCCATTTTCTATTTATTTCGCAAAGAAATATTTTGGCCCATTGACTACCGTCTTTATGTTTCCATCATTATCAGATTCCACATGACTTTAATAATGTGTGTGTGTGTGTGTGTGTGTGTGTGTGACCGACCTAATGGGTGAAGTAGCCACACATTCAGCCATGCACTGTAATCTAAACTATGAGTTAAGAGCAGTTTAACAGACTTGGCCTCTTCCCATCTGTCACTGTAATGCCTCCCATTAGACAGGTGGGTGGAGTGAATGGGGTTTGAAAGAAACCAATGGCCGTTGCTGTGAAAACTCTCATCTGTTGTTGTTGCTGTTATTCTTTCTTCTTCTCCTCTTTCTTCTCCCTGCTGTTTGCTCATACCTTACACCCACAGAGAGGCCTATTTTCAACCTGGAAATCCCACATACCACCAAGACTGTGTGTCCGTGTCCCATTGTACTGTGTGTGTCACAAATAGCTGTACACACACTCATACAAAACTTTCACCCCTGTGGCCCATTCTCCTCCTCTGATAAGGCAAACACACACTGGTGTTGATGATTTCTCTAAGGACTACTGAGGAAAAACGTCTCTCCACTCACGTAGTGTCAAAGCGGACATTCTTTCTAGGTGTCCAAACAACTTTTTTTTTTTATATTGATAACTATCCTCTTGGTGGTCCCTCAAAGAAAGGTCCTTTACCCTCTCTACCAGAGGAAACTACAGCTTCTCAGGTCAGAGGTCAACATGTCCCACGACCTTTTGGATGGGTTTTCGTCTAAAGCTCTGCCCAACAAAACAGTTTTGCTCTCTGTTTGCTCTCTGCTGTGTCCCTTCTTCGCTTCTTGTATTTTCTTTCACCATCTTAATCAACTTCTGTGACCCGCATCATTGCATCTTCAGGTCAAGTGTTTGAGAAGAGGGATAGAGGCCATGGTGGCAGAGAAGCGAGAGACAGTAATCTGAGAATGTTACCAGGGGACGATAAAGACGAGAGGAATGAAGGGATTAGACCTAAAATGGGGAGAGATGGAGTGGGAGAAGGATTAAGGTGGAGTTAGAAGAAGAAGAAGAAGAATAACAGTGGAGCTGAGTCTCCTACTGAGGCAGTCATGTGGCTGCTGCTGCCTCTTAACAGTTGTCTTCTCTCCTTTCACCGACCAAATAAGGCCTGTTGTAAATTTTTATGTCTTTGCCAAACGGCTTAAGAATAGTGTGGTCTTTATTATCAACTGTTTTCCCTTACCTCGATCAACCGATCTTTTCATGTCTGTTGAAGAAGCAAATGCCAACATGTAAACCTCAGATTTGAATGTTTCATATTCAAGTTTATATTTAATCTTAGTAGACTTCACAATAAAAAATATACAGTGAAAATAAAGCAACAGTGCATTAGTAGTAGATACAACAGTTGTCCATGGAAGAAGGTGACGTGTTATGGTTGACGTGTACCTCATCATGATTCCTGGACCCTTCAGTCTAAATGGGTAAATGGAAAACTGTAATTTAAATTGCCCTGTGGTGCCATCGAGGCCAGGTAGGGCTATAAAACCTCAGAGCATTTGTGTTGATTTTATAGGCTTTTATTAACCCACAGACTGACTCTGATTTCCCGGAGGATGGGTGTTCCTGTGACGTCATTATACAGTTAAATTAAAGAGATCCAGTGAGAATTAAGTCAAAGGCCTGACCAGGACAAAAAGTATGAATACTAGAGGATACATGAGAAATAAATCCAGCGATATATAGGTATCATACATACATTATTACCATATTAATAGTATAACATAGACAAAGTTTAAAAGATTTTTTAATATTTTGAAAATAAACTATTAAATTAATGGCCCTCCAACAATCGGCTCAGTGATAACAGTCTGCAGTAGCGGCCCCTGTAGGCCGACCGGTCCTTGGTAAAAAAAAGGTTGTGGACCACCGGTCTAAGGTACATATCAGAGTTCTTACATCAGTTTTTCATGGGCCAAGAACCTCCACACTTTGGTTTAAACTTGTGCAGCGCTGCTGTGGAATGTAACGTGTATTGTGTTGGTAAAAGTGAGCAGACGTGAACACAGTTCTTGTCTGTATTTTGATTTTTTTCTAGTTTGGTTTAAGCTTTAAGTATGTGAACGGGTTTTGTTTTTCATCTGTAGTAGTTTCGGAGAACCTGCCTCTTCCCACCTTCAGATACGTGACCATGTGTGGTGCCGTACACACTGGGAGGAGGAGAGTTTACCTAAACCTTGAAAAGCCCCGCTTAGTCTCACAGTTAGAGGAAGTTTTACTTCAAAGACATTTTGAAAACTGAAACTATTGTTCAAAGCATGCTCGTACTTCTTAGCCTTCACCTTTTTTTGTGGGTCACACCATCCTATAGAATGTCACAACCCGCTGTGTGGGCTTTTCTCTGTTTCCATTGAAGTTTGAGAACTTTGGAGCAGCCTTTTCCTGGAGATGTGATAAATTACTGTCCAGCTTCCTGTCTGTCCTCCTGCCTACTGTGAGCTCACATCCTCGGTGGTTTGGAGAGAGGAAGAGGGGAAGGGGGGAGGTAAATCAGGACATGGGAGGGGGCTACAGCTGATGGGAAGGGTGTATGTTTGAGACTTGAAATGCTGATAATGCAAAGATGTACCCTCCATGTTTAATCATGCTCAAATGACCCGAACACACACATACTGCATATATATAGCCTACATTTATTAACAGAGCTGGAGTTTTGGAAAAATCCCTCTTAAAAAACGTTCCAAACCACCATCACATTTTTATCTCACGTGCCCCCTAGTGGCAGTTGCACACCCCCACAGGTGAACGCACCAAACTTTAGGAGTCACTGTGTTAGATGAATTTAGGTGTGGGTAGTTTATTGCAATCTGACATGCCTAGGACAGTGAAGGCATCACTGTCTTGTCTGTCCATGTAGATTTCATTGGACTGGTACAAATTGACTTCTTCCATGGACAGTAAAGGCATCATTCCCTCTCCTTTGCAAGAATACGTGACATTATATCCGTCTGTGTGTGTTTGTGGGGGGTGGATAGCAGTGGGGGGGCAATGATTGGGAGGAACTGCATGTGGCCAACAGGGCACTGGCTGGAGACCGTTCATGAGCTGAGTCATCAAGAAAGCACCGTGTGTGTTGTCACAGCTGTGACAACACACACGGTGGGTTTTCATAGTTTATCATTACCAACTTTTATTATCCAAAGGATAGTCATTTATTTTGAGGAAAGTATGACTTTTTCTGTTGTGACATTTATGAGTAAACTGACACCAGTCTCAATCAAACCCCCTTTTTTCTGTGTAATTGTATAATTAAACCTGCAGATGTAAAAATATTTATATTGGACGCAGGGAAATAACACAAACACCTGATTTAAGTGATTCTGATCTGAGTCGATGTGGGAATAACGTTAAGGTAGAAGGAGAGGAAAATTATTGCCATCGGTCCAGTGGTGGATGGAGGTGCCATAAAGAGCCAGACGTTGCAGGCTAGTAGAAATGCACACCAGAGATAACACCTGGAGGAACAGAGGAGTCTGCTCACTGCTGTAGTGTGGCTACAAATCATAGGAAGTACGAGTCGGACACACGTTTGGAAAAAGGAGGTGAGAGGAGATATGACGTGTGATCTTGACATTCAACATATGTTAGATATAAATCACTCCCAGTGCAGAGCATGTATTTAATGATTTAAAATTTGCAATACTTTGAAAAACTATGGACACAGTATATATACAGTAGAATATATTATTTTGCCTATGCCAGTCTATTTGCCTAATTTATGCCTGACATTAAATACAGAGCCTTTCAGAGAGCTTGCAGTTCCCCAACCTGTGAAACAGAGCAGTGCCTTTGACAATTATGGGGGCAGTGTTTAACACTAAGAAGAAGACAAGTCCACAAGAGAAACGTTGGAACCAGCAAAAAGAATTCTCTGTCCACATGCCACATTGTATTTAATGGGAGCAGAGACCACCATCCACATCCTGACCTCCGCCGACTTATTCATGTTTGTTATTGTCTGAGAAACTGTTCTCAGCCGGTTAATTACCTCTGAACCCAGCACTGCCCCCTTGTAAATGTATTGCCCAATTACCATGAAAACATATGCACTGTGGGTACGTGGGCAGTGGGTACGTATGTCAGTGGAGCACAAACTGGGCCTAATGGTCAAAAAATGTTAAGTTGCCAGTTAAAATACAGTATATAATTTTGTGCAAGCCTTTAAGGAAGATTGGCTGTTTTACTGGGTACAAAGGTTTGTGTCGGTGAAGTTCACTGGTTAGAAATACTGCAGTCTTGAATCTGCTGTTTAATTTTCTGGATGTTTGATAAAATGACAGCGTTGTTGAAACTGCAGCTTGCAGCCGTGCTGCTTTTCCTACTCAGATCTATGCAGCTTTGAAGTCTCAACATTCAGTATCAGTTCAGAAAGTCAAAAGTGGAAACTATGCTCAAAGGTCTGTGCTGCGATGTGGGTCCTCGCACCAGATGTTAAAGTACTTTCTTGACTTTCTCTCTCCTTTACGACCGCTGCAACTTTCCCCTGCTGACAGTTTTTCTGTGCATGAATCACAGAGAGAAAACACCATCAAGGTGAGTGCGTCACAGGAGACGTGTGCTTGGTCATTAAATGCTCCTGAAGGAGCTGTGACTGAAACTGAACTCTCTGTGCATCTGAGTCTGCAGAGGGAAAACAGTTGTATCTGCTCAAGTATAAGGATGAAATGACTACGTTCCTAAACAGAAATACGGGTATGATTATAAATGCAAAAACTTTTTTAACCACAGGGACTTTTTTAAATGTTTCAGATCTATATTAAATTGTTTTCAAAAAACTTTTCGTGCTTCACGATATTTCTAATTAGATGTGAGTTTTGTATGAGCTAATTAACAGCCATTTACGTCAAGCTACTGCTCAGCTACCTCGTTATAACTAAACATAGTTAAATGCTGGGTTGCCATTCATTTGTTTGAAGGCAATTACAGACAATTTTGACAAATTTTCAAACACTATTTGATTTTTTCTTGGCTCTTGGCTTTTGTAATTTTATTTATACTGAGTTGTTGTTTTTTGTTGTCTGTCTTTTCATTTTTAACTTAGGCTCTGTTTGTCACATGATCTGGAACATGAGATTTTAGAGAACTATGGAAGCCCAGTAGGACAGCATCCTCTTAGACCACACAAAAACAGCCATTTCCACTCTCTAACTATATTTTATTATTATCTACTTTATTTTGGCTGATAATTTTTTGCCTAAAGTTTTAGCAGTCTTTTCTAGGTTTCCGTGCTAACAGCAGTCGCTAAAAACCTGGCCTTTCATTTAATCTCGTCTGCCTGGAAACTACAATATGCAGTATCAATGGAGTGGCTTCATGAGTCTTGGCTTTGTGCTCGTTGAGGGAGGTGAAAGTACAAACAGGTGGGTTGAGAGGGTGGGGGAGAGAGGTGGAGGGTGAGGGGGGAGTTCAGCAGACAGAGGGGAGATAGAGAAGGGTCCATTTTCGTTTGTTCCCTCAGAAAATTCCATAGGTGGGTGTTTCTGGCTCCTGCACAGAAGAGGTTCTCTTCAACTTTATCATATTCCCTCTGTAAATATTTCACCTTCTCTTCACATGGCTGCTGTTTTTCTCCTCTCTGGTTCCCCGTCACTTTGGACGTCAGTGTAAATCTGGTCAATGATGTCACAAAGTTCAGTTTTAAATAAACTAATTTGTAGAAAACTCCTTTGGAATTATGTTTAACTGTTTGTTTATTTATGCTTTCCTGAATTTGCTCTGATATAAAGGCGCCCTGAACTTGAGTCACGTAAATATTTATGAGTGAAAACCTCACAGTGTGTGGGCATTACATCACAACTGTAGGAAGTATGCTATACACAGACGTGCAAACAGTGTGCACGTAGCTGCAGTTAAATCACCCACTCACTGGACCTCCTGTGTGGAGACCATAGATCGTACGTACAAAAACACGGACGTTGCCATTCAGTTTTTCAACAAGTGTTGAAGTTTATGTTTGTTGTGTTGACAACATTATTTTAGGAAATTCTAAAAATTTATTTCTCTGCAGAGCAGTGGAGTTTGTGCGCACGTCAGGAGGAGGGCAGTGAGGAACTCATGGTTGTTAGATCAAGTCCTCCTCCAGTCTGGCTTTTACAGTTCAGTCCAGCAGACGTTCTTCCAGCACAGCTGATTTAACGATAGCACAGACTGTGCTGCGTGCCGTTGTTTTGTCTTGGCCTCGATCTCTCCTGGTTGCAAGAGAGAGGAGGTTCTTTTCATCACGATATCTGCCACTCAATCTGTAGACACTTGTCTTCAGTGTGTCCATGACCTTCATCTCTTAACCACACACACTGTATATCTGTACTTCAGCGGACGTTTCTCTTCAGATTGTCCTTTATCTACTTCACCTGTATCAGTGTAGACAAGAGAACAAAATGATGATAATAATGAAGTAGAGTATGTACACAGTACAGTGTCATGACACGTGGGACAAATACTGCACAGATAAATATAAACTCAGATATCCTTTAATGTACAGTAGAGGAAGTTGGGTTTTGTCTGTCTAGTCCACAAACCACATTTGACACATTTTTTTTTTCAGCAAGAACTTCTCTGTTTCAACAGTAGACCCAACATTCATGCCCAGAAAGTTTTTTTTATGTTGGTTGTGTGATTATCAGAAGTTACCTCTTTCAGTAAATACAAAATCCTAAAAGACAACTGCGTCAAGCTGATCTGTCTCAGCTTGAAGCAGTGAGGTCTTCGACTGACTGACTTGTTGGTGTGGAGTCCAGAAAGCAGGTCTGAACAGATCAGGACACAGACAGATGTGTATGTAGGTCGAGTCGTTCTGCGGTGAGAGGATAAGATTGTTCTGATTGTAGAGTCAGTCCAGTCAGCAGGTAAATGACAGTGATGATATCAACAGTAACTGCAGCACAGCAGCAGAGATAAGTCAGTAATGACCCTGAACAGCTGGGGCTTGACATCTTCATGAGGTTATCAAGATGGAGTTCTCTGCCCTTTTTTCTCATCAGTACTTTTCATCTTCTCCAAAGTTCTGAAAGTTCTCTTTTTAACTTTCTTCAGTTTATCTCCTGAACTATTTCACCAGGCCTCATCTCAGTTGGGAGATTTCCCATACATCCTTGTGCAGTCTTACTGTGTTGTTACTCAAGAAACATGTTGTTCCCTAGAATAATGTGCTGCATCTGTTTGGTCCCACATCTTCCATTTTGTGTTTTCACCCAGATTTCTTTGTTTGTTTGTATCTGCAACTGTTATCAACCCTGTTCCAATCCAGAGCGCTCACATAATTTGCACTGGCATCAAAGAAAATTCTTCTGAATCACAGTCTAGATTTTAGACTATGAAATTTAAAGAGTGCTGTTTTCAGTGCCAGCTGAGCTGATATAACGTCTGACTCTGTGTTCTACAGATTTGCCCCCATTTTATCCTCTGAGGCAGCTCTGTAAGTTCTGCGACGTAGAACTCGCCTCGTGCCCAGGGACAGGAACATGCATGTCCAACTGCTCCATCACGTCTATCTGTGTGGAAAGCAGCGAGGTGTGTGTGGCCATCTGGTAGGTATCTTTTACAATTGGTTTAGTAAAGTATTATTTATGTTTTAGTGGTGACACCTCTGCTCCGACTGTTTCCTTTCTCTCATTTCAGGAGAAAGAACGAGACCGGCTTCTCTCTGGAAACTCTCTGCCATAACCCTTCCAAGCCACTGTATGGCGTAATCCTGGACGACTACAACAGCACCACCTGTATGATGAAGGAGAAGAACACATCCAGTGGAATGGCTCAGTTCTGCTCCTGCAGGGACGAGGATGAGTGTAACGACAAGCTGACATTCTCAGCAAGTAAGTTCCAAACAAACAAAGAGCGAATCATAAAAACATTTTAACATGCTACACAATTGAACATATTTTAAAGAACCAGGGAACAAAATGTGTAAAGAGTTACTAATGACTTGGAAATGTTTTTAACATTGAACTTTGATGTCAGTGGAAATTAAGCCATGACTCATAAAGCAGCTGATGAAGAGTCAGTGTTCTGGGGGACATTGTAATCAAACATGTATCAGTTGATGGCTGATGTCGATACATGTTGGTTGATTTTCTGGCAGAAATATGTTCCTCTGATCTTTAATTAGTTGACAATCAGACACCATGGTCTGGTTCCATATCTCTGCCAGTTCATCCATCTGCTGCACATCTGCCCAGATAAACTATGCAAATCGCAGTAGACGTCCGCCGGTCTCTCCTGTGCTGGCTGCCGTCTCTTTGGAACGATTGCAATGCATCGTCATCACAACAGGAAGTGGAAATTCGGTTTTGGAAACACAAGTAAACAGCGCTGGGGGATTCCTCAGTGTGGTCGCTCACTCAGCTGCTTCTGTGCTGGGGTTGGCAGCTGCCGGTTCAGTGTGTGAGTGTGAGTGTGAGTGTATGTGGGTGTGTGAGTGTCTAAGCCAACCACACTGCAGAGCTCAGACATATGGTTTCCTGTCTGTGTTTAACTTAAGCTAGAAACATCTCCAGCACATGGTGAGCTGCCCCAGAACAAACACACAGATCTAACTCACCAACACACACATCACAAACATTTGTCAGGTAACGATGTAACTTCCTGTTATGTTAATGACTGTTTGACATCTTTTATCACACCTCGACAACCTATGTTGTAATCCATTCTGCTATGAAAACTCCAAACTACCAACCTTTGATTATGAATGGAGGTTTTAACTATTCTTCCGTTTACTTTTCCTGGTACCGAGGTTTGCAATTTGTGAGGCAAACAAACCAAGAACATGTGGAACAGTCAAAACTTTGTAAATAGTTTTCCATCTTTGCTCCACAGCTCAGAGTTCTACTAAAAGATCCTAAGACCCCGTAGCTTGTTTTTTCTGCTGACATGCAGAGTGAGTTATGGGCCATGTCTAATTTTTTTTACGGACCAGTCTGATCTGTCAGAGGTAGTTTTCTTCTTCAGCCTACTCCGTCATTAGGCTATTTAGAGAAAACGCTGTGTTGGACAACATTCTGGAGTCACAGGAAATGGTCTGGATAGTGTGGATGGGAATGATTTATTCACTTTATGGATGGTTTAGTGTTGAGTGATGGTAAGTAATGATGGTGTAAAAATGTATTAATGAAATCCATAACATTGGAACAGTGACAGTTACCATGGCTCAGTCAAAAAGTGCAGTTCACTTCAGCCAGGTAGGCTGATGTTGAACAAGTCACCACTCACTGTCTCTTCATATAGATTTGTGTGTTTGAATGGTGACTTTTTAATGATTTAAACCAGTGATTCTTCACTGTACTGGACAATGAATGCCATCTAGAGGGACGCAAATACCTTTCAGGTTAAAAGGCTTCTTCAGGACTGAAGAAGCCTCTTGGATGAACAGTGAAATCTCTTCAGTTCACCATGACAGTCATGTCATCTCATACTTCAGTCAGGGTCCAGTAAAACTAACCCTGTGCTCTGACCAAATAATTACACTGACACTGACAACAACTGTGCAGGTGATGATGTCAATGTTTGGAGTTGGTTATCATTTTTCCACTTTACTATCATTTCCACCATCTCTGTTTGTTTTGCACCACTGTTTTGGTGTATTTATAGGCAATTGTTTAAAGAGAGGGAGAGAGAAATATATTTATATCCCTGACTATCAGCGATGTGATTCCCTCCTCCTGTAGAGACACATGCAGCATGAGGAACTTGTCAATAGTGTTGCTGGATCACTGCCAGGACTTATTACTGTGTGAATGTGTCACACTATTTAATTCTCAAATCTCATTCTTATAATGTTTAATAGCCCTGATTGTGCACTAGGTTCTCAGGATGACAACTGTGTAATGCACATGAGGTCATTCATGAGTACGCTACGAAATATGTGAAATATTGTACTAGCAGGAAGTTGTCATCCCACAGTGAAACCGCTGAGTTTTCTGTGATCATGTGTATGTTATTATTAGGCAGAAAAGGACAAAGACTTATGCTTAAAAACAATATATCAGGCATAACATTTCATGTTGGTTTAGAAAAATGAAAAGAACAAAAAGGCCTAACTTTGAGTTGTGAGAATAGAATAATAGATCACAGGGCTGGATAATATTGTTTGCCCAGTCTTGTAAATTTTGCACTGTCTTCTTTATAAAAGAGCTCTTTTGATCAGAGCGCTGGATAAAGAGAGAAAGAGAACTAGGGATTTAGTTCTCTGATCACGGACCATTCCAGATCTTGTGCAGATGTGGGCCACTTCAGAGAGTGATGGATGTGAGCCTGCAGTGGCCCACATGTAAAATGTCAAACGTGGCTGGAGGATCTTCACACAACTGTTGGACTTTCACAGTTTAAACACTGTCTTTGTCCTGACAGCAGCAGTTAAATCTCTGACTCTGTAACCAGGAAAAAAAAAGTGTGACGGCTGAGGGTGGTTTTCCTGTACAGTCACCTTGTACTGTGTACAGTGCTGCATGTCTGTGACGCAGCAGATGTTTGTTCTTAACACCCTGTAAAGATGATTTGCGGCAGATTCACTCGGCCTCACACACGCTGTCAGTTAAGCATGTGTTTTGGAGCATGTTAACTATTTTCAGTGGGAAGGCAGGCATTGATAGTAAATACTGGCTTGTTGTAGTAACACACTTTTATGTGTAAGCACTTTAGTGGTGGTGCACCGAGCTACAACAGTCGAGAGCGGTCTGTTGTGCAACAGAGTCTTAGATAGATGAAAAGATCCACAGACTGAATAGACTGAACCGTTTGGTTGCAAAAGTAAGTCCTGTTAGTTAGTTGACATCACAACCTAGGACATAAGAAAGAGTCGGAGTTACACTTGGGAGCTATAAAGTATTCATCCACTCTGCTCTCGGACTAGTTCCTGTGGAAAATATGTTTAACGCCATACATCGGAATGATGGAACCAGACGTTCTTGATAACTGATAATTGTGAGATGGCGACCACTACACAATTTAATACAACTGCCTCGAAATCAACCCTGAAAAGATCTTACCTCATTAAAAGCATTTCCTAATAATAATCACTGTATCCTCTCTCTCCATGGCAACCCATTCAATTATAGGGTAAAATAATTGTATAATTATAGGTAAGGTTATATCTGCACTTGGCTCTGTGATTGGTCTGCGACCTGTCCCAGACAGAATGTTCTTTGACTTTTGCCAGTGCGGACCGGTCCCATCTCCCCTGGTGACCTTTAAGAGGATAAAAATGAATGAATGAATGAACAGATGTCATCTCATCCAGTTACACAGGTTATGATGAATGAAACATTCCTGGTGTGACAGGGCGCCGCGAGTGTTGATGTGGAGGAGAAGCTCACTGGAAATAATGAATAAAATGATAAAAACATGGAAGAGGACCACGTAGAAGAGGAAGAGGAGGAGGAGGATGATGATGATACTGTCATGGATGTGGTGGTCAGAATGTTAAAAAAAATGTGGCTCTGCAGTGCATGCACCTAGATCTGCTTTTTATGGCTATATTTTACAGTTCCTCCTCAAGTGTGGAATCTTGGCCTGCTGTCAGTGAGTATGTCAGTCTGTTTGGTCGCAGAGCAGACGGTTTTATAGACACATGACTCAAGTTGGATTGGTTTGAGCAGCAGGAAAAGACGAAGGGTAAAGTGAGGTAAAAGAAGAAGTTGGTTCAGACTCAGAAAAAGAGAAATATTGCAGAGATTTGAGCCATTTCTTCAGCAGCAGTCTGGCTGTGCAGTCATGTTACCATAACAAACGCACAGTGTGTATGATAAACAGTGTCGTTTCAGCCAGTGTTCCCCACACACTGTACGATGTTACTGCATTCTCACACTCATAATATGATAGCAGTCTGGAAAAAGGCAGGATATTTATACATTTAGGAATAAAGTGCCCTCAGGAAGAACATTAGTAAACACTGGTTTACACTGTTGCTTCAGTGAGTGGTTTTTACACGGTAAAATTCATGTATAATGAAAAGTTGAGACGTTTTATGCACTGGGTGGAGATGAAATGTCATTTTCTTTTCCTTCCCAGCAGCTGGGGGTAGCCTCCTAATACACAACATCTTAGCCATAATGAATTCATACAAAACCTGAAAGTCATTGACTGCATGTCAGGATTCATTTGGTCACAAACGCCAACCTTTATCTTTTTAGCTCTGCTTTGGTCTCCAGAAGAAGAAAAAACAGAAAGTGAAAACATATCCATTTCCAAAGGAAGTCGACAAAAAACACAATTGTTTTTACTCAGACAAGTGAAAACAACAGATCGTTGATCTGTTTTCATTTTCAGGGGATTCAGCAGATCTGTAGATTATTGAGCAATAGAAGAAGAACACTTCTCTCAAAGACTTTAAGTTTCATCTATCAGCTTTGGTTAGAGCTCAGAATAAGAATGAATTTCCAGATGCTTTACTTCATTGTTAACATGTGAGTTCTCCGACCACAGCTGAAGGGAAGTAGTGCTGGTTAGGGATCCTGAACCACACTGAGGAGCCCAGAGGTCAAATCAGTCCCTCAATGAAGACTTCTAGAAAGAAGGAGAGCTTGTTGGACGGAGCTTGTAAGTTTGACCTTTCATCTGGTTCGAAGAGTGCGGTACAATGAACTCTTCAGAAGAGCCCAGGGCTAGTGCTCAGTCTTGATCATGAACTTTCCAGGAACTTGAGTCAAATTTCTGGATTTTGTTGAGATGGGAATTTCTTTAGACCCACAAACACCTGCAAGGAAATTTGGAACACACTAAGAGACGTAATCTCTGTCAGACTACTGGAAGGCACGTATGACCCTTTTAACCAGGAACTATTTAGTTCCTTGAAAATTGATTCCAGCACCAAAAAGGTGCTGTTTTTTGCGCGATGGAAATTCAACAAATCCTATACTTCCACTTGATTAATAGCCTCTACAAAAAGTTCAGAGTTATTTCTCCAATTCCTTGTTGCTGAAATTAACCTTTTGTAAACAATAAAAAAAGCAGAAGAATCCAGTGAAAGGCATAAACCGACCACAGAGGAGTAATTAGTAACTCAAGTGCATTAAGGATGTGAGTCAGAAACGTTTACTTTTCACCACACAAGTGGGCGCTCATACACACACACACACACACACACACACACACAGTGGTGACGAGAGAAAATGATCCTCTTAAATGTCCGGATGACTCGCCAAATCTCCCTGAACGCCACGTGAAAACACTCTGAGGGGAAAAAGCATCATGAGTCTCATTAGCAGTTTGTCTTGGCACCGTCTGTCTTAACCTCAACAACACACTCCAATAACAGCAGAGAGCAAAGAATTAAAGCCCAAAAACCTCCCCCTCCTCCTCCCCATCCCTCCGAGCCATTTCAAACTTCTCCAAACGCACACACAGGTACAGACACATGGAATGCCAAAGGTAGTGTCTGACTGTCTGGAACCTGCTTTATTACCAGACTCCTGAAAATGGCGGTGTTTTTTGTTTTGTGATTCATTGCATCTGCAGCTCTGCAGCCCCACAGCAATTTGAGGAGACTTCACTTATTGACAATCACAAAATTGCAACCGCAAAATGACCGCGTTTCTGATCTCACTCCGTGTGTTTCCCCCCGTATGATTACACAGCGCGGTTATATGTCATATAAATCAGACACTCTCTCCAGTTAATGATGTTGTATCCTTCATACAGCACATCACACAGACTGGAATCAGACTGGTGTAATCAATCACAGCTTTGACTCTTCTGACAGAAATGTGTGCATTTTGGGGGGAAGGGGGGGGGGGTAAGGCTCCATCAGCATCAAACCCACATCTGCTGTAGTGTATGTGGAATATTCCAGTGTAAATTAGATACAGTGTGTAACCTCTTTAATGGCCTGTCCTTGGTGTGAGGAACTCCACAGCCCACCAGAGCAGCAGCTTCGCTGGGCCAAGGCGAGGCTGACAGACTGGGCTCTGTTTTCTCCTGCAGCCAGCACATCCACTCTTGGCCGCTGCTCCATCCAGCACGTAGTCATGGCCAAGGTAGTTAATGCTGTAGCTTGGTGATTTTCAAACACATAAACTCAGTAGAGTGTGTGTGTGTGTGTGTGTCTGTGTGTGTCTGTGCAGATGTATTTCAAAGGACAGCATTTACAGCATGCGGAGCTGCCGGGAAAAGCAAGTTTATTTTCAAGGAAGTGCTGTCTCTGAAATGTTACAACCCAAACACATACAGATACTGTAGTACAGCATATTTGTGATTTTATTTCTTTCCTTTTACTTACAACTATAGGAAATAACTGTAATCTATGTCAGTGATGTGTTACATGTTATTCCTTTATCATTGTTTTTCATAGGAAATCATATAAAGTATGACTTAAAATTCTACAATTGTGCGGTAAGTTGGATCTACTTTAATTTGGGATTTACTGATTCTGTAGTGAACCATGAAGGCCCAGTCGACAGTCTTATTAGTATTTAACTCTGAGGCTTTGTTAATGCTGACAGTGCTGTTTTTCCCCACAAGCATCAAACTGCTGTGCTGTCAGAGCAGGTTGTTAGAGCACAGTGGTCTGCAGCACATCAGCTGGCATGATTGTGTGTGTGTGTGTGTGTGGTTAAAAATACTGTACTGTTGCTGTACATACACAGCAGCAAATTTAAAACCAAACTCCAGAACCTGAAGCGGTTACATGGAGGGTAACTGGGCTGGTTGGGTTTCTGGGAGACATTTCACCTCTCTCCAAAAGTGTTATTTCGGGCTTCACACTGATGGCAACACCTCTTTAAACGTACAGTATGGTCTTTAGCTGCAACTTGACTGTCACCTATGATGACAATGTCCTCGTGTAAGTAATGTATTTCACATTTTCCAAATGTACCAACCGTGAGTGTGAAAATATCCAAATGCATCTTAAACTAGTGATGCGAGACGACCCAAAAAATAAAACTCTTCCGACCCACCTGAGGGTCACGACCCGGTTTTTGGGAAACAATGCGCTTGGGTGTTTAATCCGGCCATCCAGATGAATTTTGAAAATAGAAAAATACACAAACACTTCAAGTTCGGCATATTTGTGTAAAATTATTTCATTAAATTTGAATAAAAAATAAATACCTAATATTTTTGGACTTGTTTGCATGAAAACAAAAGGGAAAAATCATGGACACCCCTGCCAAGGCTTATACTACACACAATGCGACTTTACTTCCAGGTATTACTGTAGTATTATCTGAAACAAAGCGATGTCCCGTAACCCTGTCGTCTTGTGGAAACTGTGGTGACATTAACCAAAGGCTCAAAACCTATGGTGGTTCTTGATGTGCAATCTCCAGTCGTCGAAGGACAGGGTAAAGAAGTTCACCAATATGAAGTCAAAACATAGTTTTCATCTGAAAATGTAATGGTATGGAGAAGGTCAGACTCCCTTGAGAATCTCTGTGCATTTATGAGCCTCTTTAAAATGTTGACAAGCTCTAAACAGTTTTATATATCTCCTATTTTCCAGATGTGGATCCACCTGTAGACGACCCACTGGTATCTGTGATCTTGGTGAGTCTGCTGCCCCTGGTGGTGATGGGGATCATAGTGGCAGGAATGTGCTACTGGTACAGAAGACACCGGCGACACATGCTTAACCAGGAATGGGAGACCAACAAGAAGAAACGCAAACCTAGAGCTGGTGGGTTGGACTGCAGCGACGCCTGTGCCATCATGATGGATGATGACCGTTCAGACAGCAGCTCCACCCACGCCAATAACCTGAACCACAACACTGAGCCTCTGCCTATAGAACTGGATCTGCTGGTACGACCACCTGGTTGTATTTCATTGGTTCCTGACTCAGGAGCTTGTGTTGCTGTTTGTACCAAAACACAGGATCTGTTTATTTGGCATCCTTCTTCTGTGGTCAAGGTTTTTTTTCCACAGTTTGACATATTGCATATGTTTTGAAATTCTCATGATTAAAACCCAAACATTAGATCCTTCTGATATCTGTATTTGCGCTCAGTTTACCGACAAATTTTTGATCTCCTGCCAGGTGGGCAAAGGTCGCTTTGCTCAAGTCTACAAGGCGAAGCTGAAGCAGTCGACCTCAGACCAGTTTGAAACTGTAGCTGTGAAGATTTTCCCCTACGAGGAGTACGCTTCCTGGAAGAACGAGAAGGACATTTTCTCCAACACAGACCTCCGACATGAGAACGTCCTCCACTTCCTCACAGCTGAGGAGAGGAAGGTGGAGAAGCAGTACTGGCTCATCACTGCCTTCCATCCCAGAGGGAACTTACAGGTGGGACTTTATAAGTAACTGAGTAATCTTTATGAGGACCTTCCTTTCTCCAGTCTTTTCATTAACCCACAACTCTTCCTCCTCAGGAATACCTAACCCATAATGTGATCAGCTGGGAGGAGCTGCAGGTGCTGGGCAGTTCCTTAGCTCGAGGTGTTGCCCACCTCCACAGTGACCGCCTTTCCTGTGGACGTCCAAAGGTAGGACTCTTTCAGAGGGGAGATATTTCTGTTGTGTCAAAAAATGTTTGCTGATTTTTTAGGTTCTTGTTCACAAAAGCAATGCATCAAATAGTAAAAAGGCCATTACTTTAAACCAGGGGTTCACGAAGTGTGGTGTGCGAGCTGCCACTAGGGGGTGTGTGAGATAAAAAAAATGTAATGGAGGTTTGGAGTGTTTTTATGTTGAATTTCTGTCCACACAATAAAGACGTGTAAATAAACATTTCCTACGTAAAATTTTAAATTACTAGATGAAATTTTAAATAAAAAATAAATGCAGGCTATATATATGTGTGTGTGTTATATTTGTGCTCTGATTATTTGGGCATGATTAGACATGCTGACATTACTACAATCTAACGCTTTTTTAAAAACGAAACCAATTTAAATAAAAGGTCAAACTGAAGTACTTTTCGTGCCACATATTTCAACCTGCCCTCCAGACATCGATGCTCTTACGTACTGAGGTGACTCAGTCTTAGTTGTTGACATTAGGCCAGTGGTTGACAAATGCTTGCTGTTATTTACACACAGCTGGTTGACATTAAATAAGAGACAGCACTTAGACACATATCTGTAACTGTCTGCAAATGCAGACAAAAGCTAGAGTTTGCTTTTTCCTGAAAAAACATTAGACTTTATTCTGACGCAGCCAAAGGAACTGCTCACGTGTTCTGGTGGCTGTCTACCTTTCTTTGTAGTAATGTGTTTAATAGGGTTTTTCTTTTTTTTTTTCCTCTGGAATATTTTTGTATAGAGCTCTTATTACAGCATTTGTACGGTGAGATAAATGGTTTTCATATAAAATGTAATTCCTGGTGGTTATAAGGATGAGTTACACTACAATTAAATATCCACTGAAGTCATAAAGTGGTGAAACGTAATACACGCACGGTTCGCTGCAGAATGAACTTTTACATTTGCAGCATTTGTGTTTAAAAGTAAAACACTGAACGTTTGTTTTCCTAAATGACCCGTTTTCATTTAATACTTTATTCCACATGAACTAAGCCAGTAACAGTTAAGGTTTTTAACTGCTAACTGTGTCCCCCTCCCCCAAAGGTGCCCATCGTCCACCGTGACCTGAAGAGTTCCAACATTCTAGTGAAGAATGACCTGACCTGCTGCCTGTGTGACTTTGGACTGGCTCTGTGTTTGGACAGCAGTCTGTCTGTGGACGACCTGGCCAACAGTGGACAGGTCAGACTCTATCTTTAAAAGTTCATTTTAAGACCTCTGCTAACAAAACTCTTTAAACTTTCAACATTAATAAAATGGTTTTATAGACTAGAGTTTAGAGTCACAAGTTTTCTTCGAGATATTCAGTAAAAATGTCAATTACTTCCTTTAAATTCTACAATATTCTACAATACTCTGCCTTTTTTAGCATTAGAAGCTGGTAAACACGTGTATCTTTTGGTAGTAGTAAAAGTAAAACATTTTTATGTATTTATTGGTTGGTTGTCTTCGCTGCAGGTGGGTACTGCACGTTACATGGCTCCGGAGGTTCTAGAGGCTCGACTGGACCTGGAGAACACTGAGTCCTTCAAGCAGACTGACATTTACTCCATGGCCCTTGTTCTATGGGAGATGACGTCGAGGTGTGAAGCTATCGGAGGTCAGTGCGCCCACATAAACCCCCACAGACTGAAGTAAACCCTGCTCTAGGCAGGTTATTTACTCATCAGCCACTGACCACTCAGCTGGGTCCAGTCAGGGCAAACAGAGACATGAAGGAGACCAAAGGATGATGGGAGCAGGAGTTAAGTAGAAAACTAGTTTTTACACAGCACTGATGTTACACATTAGCACATGCTAAGGCGGAAGAAACTGTACGTCTGACACGATGACACTAAAGGATCACACACACACACACACACACACACACACACACCAGTGTACAATTACTCAAACATTACACATAACTGGGAGATGAAGGATCAGAATCAGGAATATTTCATGTCCCTTGGGCACACTGGGATAGTCCAAGTTCTTACCAGAAAAAAAAAATAGACCGAGAGTTATAATAACAGAGAGTAAAAATAAAAATAACATCCACGCCCTGCTGTTGTGTTTGATGTGATGTTACCGACCACAAGAGCGTTCAGTGGTTTAAAACATAAAAAGAAAAAACATATATTCCATAAAGTTATATAAATGGAAAAAAAATCAGCCTGTAGTTAAGACATACAATTAGGAGAGTTTGATTCAAACTGCTTTTGATTAGTTTCATACAGACGATCTCACATGCTGGTGTGAGATACGTGTGGTGCCTTCTAGAGTGACTGATACAGATACTAGAGCAACAAAGACCCATATGGCAGGGAGGGGAGTCAACAGAGGGGAAACAACATGATTAAAACTAGTTAAAAGTTCCTGATAAACTGACAAGAACACAAAATATCATCAGACAAAAAAAAAAAAATCAAAAAACAAATCACAGCAGCAAAATGAACATGTCAGAAGAGAGGAGTGAGGAGGAGTGAGCTTATATCAACTCTGACAGGAGGAGGGAGGACCAGAGCCAGGTGAAAGTCATCAGACACAGGTGATCCAGATCAGGGCTAATGAGATAACAGCTCTCTCACACACACACACACTCACACACACACACACACACACTAAAAGGACTGAAGAAACCTGAGGAATAAAACTCCCAGAACTCCCCTCAACATTAATCATCAGCAGTAAGAATTTATTTTAAAAGAGTTCATGGAAAAATGAAGCCCTTAATGACAGTTTTGTTTAAAAATATATATATGTATTTGAAAACTGGACAATAAGTAGAAAAACAGTAGTATATGGTAAATGCAGTGTTGTGGTCATAGAGATTCTACTGAACAGTTCTGCTGTCAAGGTAACGTCAACAACGTCCAGAAGAGTTCTGGTATTTTCTGGCCTTTCATCAATTTGATTTTCACCGTCTATGATTCACGTCACAGACGACACAAGTTTGGAATCTTTATCCAGGCTAGTGTTGTTGGAAATTCAAACGTCAACCGTCAGCGTCACAGCAGTGACTATTGGTGCCCAGACTCGTCAGGCTAGGGCTGCAGGGAGTGAAGATTTCTGGGTCAACTGGAAAACTGGACGTCTTGTTTGTCCCACTCCACCTTAAACTCAGCTCCAGGGCTGCA